AGGTAAAATAAAGACATGAAAGCAACCCATGGTCTCAATATTCTACACCTTTTGTTTATATTTACAATAGCAGCTTCAAATAGTTTGCTGGTTACTGCATTTTTTTAAATTTTTAATTTCTCAAGTCTGTAAATTCATTAAAAGCCACCATATTTACTTCAAAACATTACCACTGTATTGTTTTTTTTACTGAAATTACCAAAAAACTGAACAAACATTGCTTTGTTGACACTCAATTCTACAATATTGGTTTTGCTTGAGTTTATATCTTTTTACAACCCAATGCAATTATCATAACTTTTTTAACAATATGATGAGCAGTCATTAGCTTTCATAAAATCTAGTATGATCGTAATTATTTCTAATAAAAGCAGATAGAAATTCACATCTCTAAATATTTCCTCATATTTATACCATTATTGGTTGGTTAATACCAATTTTATTGTGAAAACTTCAACTTGCATGATACAGATTAAATTAATATCTGATTTATGTTTAGCAATGTGGTACAATTTCTAGAGAAAATAACTTATGAGAAATATATTGAAAGAATATCAGTTAAAACTACTGCAAATACTCAGGCCACATTAAAAAAAAAAAAAAAAAAAAAAAAAAGTCAATAAATTTTGAAAATGCACTTTCAGGAAAGTGCTTAAGTACTCTTTCCGGAAACTTATAGAATTTTTTGAAACTAGACTTATAGACTTTAAGGCTGTCAGAAACTCAACTCGGTGATACTGTAAATGTCTATACCTACCTCACTAAAATTTAAGTTTTCTGTAGCATGGATAAAGCCAGTTGAAAATTATATAAAATACATTAATATAAGTTAGACCAATCACAAGCTTTAAAAAATAAAAAATAAATTACTACTCTACTGAAATAAACCACAGAAATCTTAAGTCCAGCTCAAATTTAAACTTTAATTATAAACATCTTTGTCATTAATACAAAAAGTGTTAGTTCATTTATTACAAACTGAGAAATTGGATTTTATCACAATTGCTGGAGTTAATTCATGTGAAGAAATGCAGTCAAAGTTCAACAATGGAATGCTGGTCCTTGAAATTTAGCTGACCAAGCGCTACATGGCCAATGGAGAAAAAAAAAAAAAAAAAAAAAAAAAATATTAGAAAGAATCAATGGATTTGACCAGCAGTTGTAACAATCAGTGGTGGTGTCAGTGATTTTTGGTTTAAAAATATGAAATCAAAGCAATGTAATGTAATTCTTTACTTCAGCAGTCTAAAGATGGTGTGTAGATGGGCATGTGTGTAATTTGAAAAAAAAAAAAAAAAAAGTTATATTTGTAACTTGGAAAGGCAAAAAACAATCTCAAAAGGCTGTTAAATTCTTCCAAGTTATGTCAAGTAGCAAAAATGCACTATAAACATCAAAAATTCATATTGAAATACATAAAGAATTTACGTTATATCTATGAGGAATCAAAATTACCAATATATTGATGGAATGTAAATATTCCCCTACCTCACAAATGTATTGATTAAACTGAGAATAGCAAATACATAAGGGTGAATATTGATTAAATCCATTTTAAATTATGGTTAAAAGTCACCTAAATGATTATTAGTTCAAACATTTATTGTATGTTGTAAACTGTTAAATGTCTACCATATTACCTTTCAGTAATTACATGTTTAAAGTAGATACATAAGATTACAATAAGATTTGGCTTTGCAGAATTGAATCATGTTTTTATTTATTGGAAAAAATAAATAAATAAAACCGCCACAAAAAAAGATCATTCCCCACCCCCGTTTAAGGTTTCTAGTGATAGCCTGCAAAAGTAATATGAATTATTTTACGAGTCATGCAAAAAAAAAAAAAAAAAAAAAAAAAGTAAATTTTCATGGAAGAATCTTTGCAGAAAATATGCCAGTATCTAATTTGATTACCCCAGTTACAGAACAAAATACAGGAGGTAATATCTGAAAATTCAAGGTCCACTCAGACTTCATGTAATTTTTTTAATGCTTACAACTAAATGTAAAGCAGAGATTCTTCCATTTGCACTGCAATTAAAAAGTGACCAAAAAAAAAAAAAAAAAAAAAAAATCTGAAGATGTTCTGATGAAACAAAAATAAATGAAATTTGCTTGGGTTTTCTTCATCCATGCATGAAGAATTCTTTTTAAATAAGTGAAAAAAAGTGTCAAAAAGTAGTGAAAGACAGTTGAGAGCTAAAATTGAGAGCTTGAATGTTGGTAACAACCAAGCAAAAACTAAAGACTTCACAAACAAAAAGATAAAAAATAAAGAAAAAAAAAAAAAAACAAAATAAAAAACAAAATAAAAAGAAATCTAACCAAGAAGAATAAATTCTGTAATTGAAAAAATAGCTGGCTTGTGACCTTTATTCATGTTGAGTGACATATATGACAACATGACTTATATACATCTTTTGATAAATATACATTATGTACAAATTAACATCACAGACATATACTGCTACAAAGCATGACAACCGAATCCACATGGCTGGCTGGCTGGCTGCATCCATGCTTTTTTTTTTTAAATTTTGTTTTATGCTACTGTACAGCTAAGGCATTTTCAGCAACACTGAAACATTGTGTAGAGTTGCTAGCCTCAGGACTTAGGGCATTTCTCTCTCCCTTTCACCCACTCTCCTGCCTGCCTGCCAACATTGAAATGGAATGGTAATGATGACACATGGAGATGAGAACTTTGTTCAAAAAAGAAGCTTTTTTTTCATTTCCTCCCCCACCAATTAGTTTGTGTATTTATTTTATTTTCCTTTTCTACAGTTCAGTTTAGTCACCGGTCAGGGCTGGTGTACCATGGTGTTCATCCATATACTTAAGTTTTCAGTGGGAAGAGGAAGAATTTTTTTTTTTTTTTTATTTATTTATTTATTTTTTTTATTAACTGACATGAAATAGTCCCATCCAAACATTGCAGTTGCCTTCTGTCAAAGTTTTGTTTTTCATCCACAAACTTATCAGCTATGATAAAAGAATTGACAGTGATGAAATAAGTGTCCTTCCATAACTGCTAAAGATGAATCCAGGGTTCAGGTGGAACAGCTTAAAAAAGACTGGTGGTTAAAGTGATATAGTTGTGGTGGTGGAAAATTCAACAGCATTGGAAGCTCATTTATTTGTAAGCCTCCTTTGATCTTTAAAGAAAAAAAAAAATAAAAATAAATAAAAAAAAAAAAAAAATAAAAAAAAAAAAGGAAAAAAACTTTGGGTCCCTCCCCCAACTTTTGCTCAAAAGGATGGATTGTTTGACATTGCACAGGAGTTCATTGCACAATATGCTGGGATTATTCACATTTTCACATGGCATATTGATTTGAGGGTGCCTCAGTAAAGTGTTGGGATGCTAGCAGTACATATGTACTACAAATCAATTTTAAACCAAGAGCAAATAAGGACAGGGAAATAAATTAAAAAATAAATAAATAAACTAAAAGATATACAAGTGCACAAGATATACATATTCACACATATCTCAGTCACCTTTTATAGAGAATTAACACTTTCCAGAAGCCAGCCAGTGATTCCTTAGAGATGAAAGCAAAAGTAGCACTATCAAAATACTTTAAATATACATAACACCTATGAACTTCTGCACTCATTCCAAGGGACTGGTCTTAGGAGCAAGAGTAAAGATTACAGAAATAAACTGAAAGAAAACTGAAGGTAACGATTGGAAGGAGGAGGATGAGGTGGTGGAGCAGCCAGGAGAAGAATATTTTTTAAGAAAGATTATCAGTCTTAGAAAAATTTCTATTGCATTGTTCTATTTAAATTGTTGATTTTATGCAGAAGTTTTGTTTTAAGACATTACAGGATAAAAAGAAAAAGTATCTAAATGTCCTAAGGAATTTTCTTTCCTATTTTACATTAAAAGGTCTTTAAGAAGCTTATTTAAATGGTTTTGAATATTCAAGCGGTAAGTATTAAAATAAATTTGTGCAGATCAGCAGGTTTCTATATAACTAGTTAGGAATTGTAATGAAATGGAGCCAAAATAAATTTCAGTATATCATCTCAATTTTTCTCAAAGAATCAAAGCAAAATAAAAAAAAAATAAAAAAAATTTTAAATTAAAATTTCACTATTTTGAAATTTATAAATTTTAAAGAGTAGAAAAAAACCTGAATGAAAAAATAAATTAATAAATAAAACTAAATAAATAAAAAGAAAACAAATCTACACAAATAAATTAGATATAAAAGATCGGAATTTTTCCATGGCATAGTTTTTATCTACACTTCTTGTAGTGTGGAATCATTCCATGAAATATTAAGAATGCAAACTTAAGGTTTAAAAAATAAATAAATAAATAAAAGCTATGCAACCAGTCATGGTTATGTTTGCATATAAAGGATTTGGGCTGAGAAACTTGATGCATTCAAAAATTGATTTCATAGAATATTTTGGGAGAAGGCAGGAAAGAAAAAAAAAAAAAAAAAAAAAAAAAAAAAAGGACAAACCTGCATCAAATTTGAGACAGATTAGGATTATCTCACTTTACAAATGACACCCTCAACAAGGTAAAATAAGATCCACAACGCATGGCAGCTAAATAATGCTGCAATATTTGATGCTCCTGTCACTATGACAGATTTATAACATCCAGGATTGGCAGTTTTCCAGACAAACTATGCAAAACTGGAGGATTATTCTTAGGCATTGTACGTAGTCCAGATGGAGCTTCCCCTCTCATATCAAGCCAATAGAATCGAACAGCTCAATGCTTTGTACACAACATTCTGTTGAAGTACAAGGTATTGTCAAGTGCTCAGCTCCTATGAGACATCACAGCATCAAGTTGAAGGCATCACTGATTCACTCCTGTGCCAGGGAGAGGAACTATCTCCCACAAAAGATACTATCTCAAATTGTATCTAGAAATGCTGCTTTTCTGTACAATAGAAATAAAAGGCACTTAAGATTAGATCCTTTTGCCATTTTAATAGCATGTTGAAGACTGTAGGTAGGTGGACTGGATCAAACTTGTGTAGCTAGTACATGCGGACGTTCATTGTTCAACATGAGCCGTTGTGCTTGCTCATTTTTTAATAGAGTGTCACTGATATTTAGGTGTGTTTTTTCAACTTTTATACTGCTCTCCCTGCAAAGAAAGAAAAAAAAAAAAAAAAAAAAGATATAAACATGTGCACTAAACTTTTAATATAGTTTGTTAAAATACAATTATAAATAGTTTTTGTCATACAATAAAAACAAATTTAATTATAACAAAGGATCAAGCAAATTAGAAATAAATAAATCTACTTTACAAAATTAGTTTTGCAAATTTTCTATGAGAATAAAAATACTTAAACTTCCAGAACTTGTCAGATTTTTTTTTTTTACAGAATTAATTTAATATCTGATATTTATGCTATCTACTATAGTACCTTCCAAAACCAATTATATTATTTACATATAGATAATCATTTGGAGTATGTGAACTGTGCTTAGGATCAAAATGTTGCTTTCCAGTTTTCTGCTTAGAAGTAGTGGAGCATCTGTGCACTCCACATAATTTAGCAATTTTACTGCTTTGGTCCAAAAAGCAAAATGCTTGTGTCATTTACCACTTATTTCCAAGTCAAATTGAAACAGAGTTCAGTTAATTTCACATATGTTTTAACATAAGTTTTTAAAAAAAAAAAAAAAAAAAAAAAAAGTAAAGCCACAAGGATGAACTTTTCAGGATAAATCTAAACCAATGTACTATGAAAACTTAGGTTTGATGACTACAAATATAATGCACAATCAGAATTTTATCAATTTGAAGAAAGTCAATTTAATTTAAGCCAAGTTATAAAAAAAGGAAGAATATAAAAGCATCAGCTATTGTTAAAGACTTGACACATGACTATCAACAAAAGTTAGGATTATGGTACATTTTTCCAGGAAAAGAGAGAGAGAGAGAGAGGGAAGAAATGAAATAAACAAGTGCAGTTTATTTTTTGGTATCACTAAAAAAATTTTTTTTTTTTTCACACACACAAAAGATGAAGCAAGCAAAACCTGCTACAGACCAAGTTCCACCTTTGTCAAGTAATTAGGTTTTTCAGCTTTCATTTCACATTAAAGTTGACAATGAAACAGTATCCAATAATGATAAAGGACATAACACAGATCAATATGACAGAAGACTAACAATAAACCAAGTAAAGAAAAAAGAAAATGGAGTAAAAACATCACAAAGGTTCATAAAACTTTTCACTCACTAGCTATGATTACAACTAGGTGATGAAAATGTAACAGTGACTAGTCAATGAATAACTGAAACAAAAAGAAATGGCAACATTTGCACAACCATCTGAAGAAGCAAAGCTAAACTTTCAATGTTTTCACTTTATAAATAAAGCTTTCAAATTGTGAAAGCTGATTCCTTTCCATCACAGCCCCCCTTATATATATATATATATATATAAAAAACAAGACACTGAATTGTGTATCACCCATTATCAAATAAAGAATAAAAACCAAATTCAAAACAATAAGGACCATTATTAAGCACAGATGAAAATCTTAGTTAATAGTCACACATTTTTACAAAGTTTTAAAATACTTGAAATGCAAATCGCTTAACATTAAGGGCTAAAAACTACTTTCAAGAAGATTTTCAGTAAACCAATTTCTTTAACAAAATGTGGAAAGTCTTGAGCTACTAAAATTCTATTAAATTTTTCTCCATATTAATATCATTTTTCACTTATAAAACATTGAAAATTAAAGATACTTACCCAACTTCAGTATTTAATGTTGGTGTTAACATTTTATTACATGGTTTGTGACAAGGGTCTTTTGTATTATTGTGTTTTGTTAATAAGATCTTTGCTGATTTGTCATAAATCTGTCCTGGATTGAACCTGTTTGAACATTCAAGTTCATCTTTGGTTATTTTGTCTGAAGAGCTGGCAGATGGGATTGTTGTAAAGATATCAGTCTCCATGCATTTGCTATTGAACTTATTTTGTTCATTCTCTTTTTGCATATTTTCTCGGAAGTGATGCTGTCGGTGTCGTAATAACATCACAATTACTGCAATAATAATCAGCACAAGAGGTACACCAGCTCCCAGACAAATAATAAGCCCCAAATGAATGACAGAAAGTGACTCTTCTTTTTCCTCTTCCTTTAAAGCTTTACGCTGGTTTACAGTAGCCATTGGGCTTGTAGTATTACGTGGAGGACTTTTCCCTTCAACACGATCACAATTATGACCAGTGTAGCCATCATTACAAAAGCACTGATATCCAGCAACAAGATCTTTGCACTTGCCATGTCTGCAAGGGTTGGGTGAGCAGTCATCAATATTAGTGGTACAATCCTTCCCAGTGAATCCAAGAGCACAAATGCAAGCAAAGTCATTGTTCCGATCCTGGCATGTGCCACCATTGGCACAAGGACGGATCTCACAGTCATTCACTGCCACTTCACATAAAGTGCCAACGTATCCAGGCACACAACGACATACAAAATCGTTCACTTTATCTGTACAGGTACCTCCATTAAGACAGGGATTTTTAGAACAATCATTCACATTTTCCTCACAAGTTTGACCATTAAATCCAGGAGTACAAACACAGCGAAATCCATTCATTTCATCAACACAGCGTCCACCTGATGAAAAAAAAACAAAAACAAAACCTAAGTAAATAAAGTACAAATTTTATATCAAGTGACTTTGTATTATCTGCTCATTTGTTGAGGTTAAAGCTTAAAATCAGTTATGAAAATGATCATGAGACTTCCAGAAAATATTCACAAAATAAGAAACATTTAGATTTAACATTCACCATCTTCAAAAGAATAATGAAATTGAGGGCAGCAAAATATTTATAGATCATGTAACAAACAGGCATTTAAATACCTTTTAGTTATTGACAAATTTATTCATCTTAATCCAAATTAAAAGGAATTATATACATACATTATATACAAGATGTGAGAGAAAAAAAAAAAAACTTACCATTTTTACATGGACTTGATAAGCACTCATTAATTTCCAATTCACAATTAGGTCCTGAAAAACCTGGTTGACATTCACATAAGTAAGTGTCACCAATGTTTCTACATTTTCCATTATTTCGGCAAGGATTGCCATCACAAGATACTGCCTGGATGTCACATTGCTTACCACTAAATCCTTTTGCACAGCGACACTGAAAACCAGTGCCAGTATCCTATAAATGAAAGAAAGAAAAAATAAATAGACAATTGTCATAAAATCATAATAGTTAAAACATAATGGGAAAGTGGAGAGAAGAGAAAAAAAAATTACTTCACAAGTTCCGTGATTTAGACATGGCTGATGCTGGCAATTGTCAACTTTGATTTCACAGTTGGTGCCATTAAAACCATCTGGACAAGTACAAGTGTAGCTTCCTTGACCTGTATTGGTGCAAGTACCATCATTCTTGCATGGATTGTGATGAGTGCAATAGTTGAGATCTTTCAAGAAAAAGAAAGAATAAAGCAGATTGAAAATATATTAAAAATAAAAGCAGTTTTGCAACATTCATATTGTTCAGTTTAAGTAGGCAGTTGCTAATACAAATGCTTACATATAAATTGAATGATTAAAAATACATTATACTAATGTCAGATTGTTTTATGAAAGCCAATGTTTTCACAATTGGCCAACATCAGTTGGTCAAGTTTTCAGGATATAAAGAAATTTATAAATATATCAAATAATCCTTTTATTAGAAATATTTAAAATAATTTTTGGTGTGGAGATTTTATGAAATTTGAGGAGTATAACATTAACATTTCAGTTAATATTTCCGATCTATAAATATCGCAATTTCAAAAAGAGAAACGATATAAGTTATAGTGATGGCATCAGTATACGAAATTACCAAGAAGAGAATATTTAAAGAAGTTGGTGTGGCAAACAGAAAAGTTACTGAATATTAAGGACATGGGCAAAAAACATGAAAGAAACCCAACTACTACCACCTTAAACAAGGAAAAAATGTAAGTTGGGTGAAGTAGTACATGAAAACAAGAAAATTTTATCAATGAATAGAGAACAGTGAATGGACTTAATGGCTGGGCAAGAATTTTGGGCTCCTTCATGGAAAATCAGTTGGCCATTCAGAAGTCAATAGTGGGGAAGGAAACTGTTTTTCTGACATTATAAGCAGTAAAATATTTAGTCCCTTCGGAGTTAGTCTCAAGATAAAGACAGTGAATTACTGTAACATTAACTAGTATACATCTCAAATCTTAAAAGGACATTCCTGCAATACAATGCTTCTTCACATTCTGCAAAACTGACTATTGCCCCCTCCCTAAGCTTCAAATACCAAATTAAAAGAATGGACCCCAGTCTCTCCAAATGTTAATCTGATAGAAAACCCGTGGTCCATGATTAAAATAAATTTATGATTATGGAAACAGTATTCAAGATGATCTCTAGAAAGAGATCAAAACTGCTGCAAATAATGCTAAAGTTAAAAGTATTTAAAAAAAAACAAAAAAAAACAATTTGATTAACACAAATCATAAAATGTTTCTACAGCTGATATCTGAGATAGATGAACATTTTGTTTATATAAAACACGACATGCCCAATATTTTCAGGGTAGATATTATAAGCTCAAACTCAATAATATTGATCATAGAAATATATCCTGAAAATTTAAGACAGTTGGTTAAGGCTAAATTTAAAAAAAAAAAAAAAGCACTTGCATAATAAAACCTGACCAGGGTTTTTATCTATAATGAAAATATAATTGTAAAATAAAATATTACAATTTAAAAGATAGTGAAGAACAAAAAAATTATTTACCCTGATTACACAATAGTCCACCCCATCCTTCAACACAGTTGCATTCCCAGGATTTGTTACAAGTGCCTTCTCGACAGCTTGGGTGAGGAATACACTCATCACAGTATTTGCCCTTCCAGCCTAAATGACATCTAATGAAAAAATAAAAAAAATAAAAAAAAAAAAAAAAAAAAAAAAAAAAAATTAAAAATAATGCATAAGCTTTTAACAGCAAAATAGTTAAATCAACACTTGCTTTGTTTACTTATAAGATAAACTTAGTGAAGAGAATTTAGTTGCTAGACTATCTGACCACCTGTTACAAAATCTGCCAACATAAAAGGTATTTGGATAGGCATTTAAAATCAACTTTAATAGTAAGATTTTTTTTTTTTTATCCGAAAGCTGCTGCTTCCTTGTAAGCATTACATAGTTTGAACAAGTTCTTTATTAAAATTTTAAAGAACTGATTACTTGAAAACTAATTAACAATGATCAAGAGATCACTGCTGATTACAGCTATTAAACTGGACAGAAGCTACCGATTTCTATGACTGCATCCAGCAAGAAAGACATCCCAAGCCACTAATTTGACATTGGTTGAAGCACTATGTAAATGTCAGCACTATATGCAAAAAACATTCCTTTAAAATGTGAATTAAATCAGAAAATGGATATTTAAAAAAAAAAAAAAAAAAAAAAAGAAAAAATGTTATAAAAGTAAAGTCAAGAATGTCAATTTTTGAAGGAAATAAGAGGTGCGTACTTACATGCACTCATTGGGCTTGTCACAATACCCTTGTTCAGAATGACAGCCAGGAAGGCATACCGCTACAAAATAAAATTATAGTCAATATTTATCTTACAGTGAGTGTCAAATCTTTGGAAACAAACAGTAAATTTTACAAAACTGCCTAAATAAGTTTATCAATAAAGTTTCCCGTTTTTCTAGTTTTCATTTAAATTAAATTTAGCATTGAACAGAATCTAAAATCTTCCACACACTATGAAATTTATTCATAAGACAAAATTAAAGAATATTAGAACATTTGTAAAATGCTGATGACATGTTGGCAAATGCACCACCTCAGATTATTACCCAACCAATTAATTGTAAGTAATATTGAAAACTCAGTCAAAATTACAAGGAAAACAATGCTTACGTTCTTGACAATATTGTCCTTTCCATCCTGGTAAGCACTTTATGCTGCCATCATTAAGACAAGTGTAGTGCCCAAATTCATCATTCCTGGGACGACAGATTTTAGTGCAGTGTGGTCCATAATAATTTTCATTACAAACTGCACGATAACTATATTCCAATTCAGTTTGGTTAGATGTATAATTGAAATCTGACCATTTAATGCCAACACTAAGCGAGCCCTGAACAGCCATACGCATTATCAATTCTTGAGTGTTCCCTGAGAAAAGAAAAAAATTCTTCATTGAGAATAAATTTCATGACAACTACAGAAGGAAGTACAAATTCTTCAAATACTGACCAAGAGAATTACTTTTCAGCAGAAGACCTAAGCATGAAAATAATCCATTACGAAAAAAAAATAAAATAATAATCAGCATTTACAAATTATAACTAAAATATCTGTGAGGGAGGGAGTATACTTTATGGGTGCATAGAGAGAAAAAAAAAAAAAAGGTAAAGCTTTAGCCCTATTAATGCAAACAGTTTCAGAATAGCCTGAAGATGAATTCCAAATAGAATTCAAAAGCAACAGTTGACAATCAGCCTGAAGAGCAAAGGAAGTACTTGCTACAGCTGACCTACGAATAAATTGGACCTTGGTTTGAAGACAAAAGAATACTATGTGAAGAGTTTGGAGTGGTTTTAACTGAAGACAGTAGCACTTCAAAATAATGAATGGGGAAGAAAAAAAAAAAAACAAACAAACTAAATACAAGGCAAAGGCAAAGACAAAGTTTAAATGTTGGTATTTGAATGGAACGTGGCAATTTTATTATCATTCATTTCTTCAAACTGGCAAAGGTTATCACAGCACGATATAGAAAAATTGAGGGAGGGGAAAGGAGAGACAGCGACTCCTCAGACGTGCTATTATTGTTCTTTATTCTATCGTTTTGACTTGCCGCGCCGTGTGACATTCAACCTGTTTTGCACACTGCAAATTGTATTTAAGAACTCGACTCTCCTCCTGAAGCCACCTGTCGCTTCTCTTACTGAGAAATCGGGTTGCTTTTATCTGCTCGACCTCCTTCCTCCTCACATCAGTCAGAGTCACGGTTAGAAGGTGCAGAAATCGAAGGGGCACGTGTGTGTGTGTGTGTGTATATATATATATATATATAAAAAAAAAAAAAAAAAAAAAAAAAAAAAAAACGGAGAGAGAGCGAACAAGAGGAAAAAAAAAAAAAAAAAAAAAAAAACGTGACCAAAGAAAAACTGTCGACGGGGAGGGGGGGTGTCAAACTTTGTGTTTACATACGAGCCAGATATATAAAAGAACTAATTTGGACCTGGACCAAGTTAAAGTAGTAGCAAGAACATGCATTATATATCATAGCAGAAAAAACATTTTGAAAATAATTACTACCCACGTGTCTCGAGTAAATAGATAACCCTGCAATGTTCATGTCTTTTAGTTTCGGTAGGGGCTAGTGGTTGCGTTTGGAAACAGAACTCGTTTTACAATGGCACCACTGCCATGAATAGTCAGGCAGGCACGCGAGCACATAGCTTTGGCCAGATCAGCACGCTCTCACGAAAAGGGGAGGGTGGAAGACTTCACCCGCCCCTCGGATTAGACAGATGGTAATAACCCCACCACACTTCTAAGCGCGCGTTCCAAGTGAAAGGGGGGAAAAAGAAAAAAAAAAAAAAAAAAAAGAAACGAAGAGAAAAATATCGCCATAGTTCCAAATATGCCGATTAAAGTCATTTTTAAGTGGAGAGAAGTGACTTGGAGGACCAAGGCACGTAGCCCTACGGGGAGAGAGAGACATAGAGAGACATACCACAACAGAAAGAGATGAGAAAAAGTCCGGAATAATAATTTGTAATTAGAGTAGTTGTTAAAGAACGAAGAAAGGTAATCGAGTGCATTCGTCATAAGTGCCCATTATCGCTACTAAGTGGATTTTATTTTCCTCCAAGACTTATTTTACCACGGAGTAAAGGAATTTCCAAGGAGTTAAGGCTCTAAAAAGAGTCAAGGTAACAAAAAAAAAAAAAAAAAAAAAAAAGGGGAGAGAGAGAGACATGCACAGTCGAAGGGGGCCTGAAGATTAATGTATAACCAGGCGGACAGTCGTTTGGCGGGGGGGGTCGTAAGAAGGGCAAACAATAGTGAGAAGTTTTCAATTAGACTAAGTCGTTTTTTTTTTTTTTTTTTTTTTAAGCAATAACACGTGTGGCTAAATACTAAAGTAAAAAGATAGGGGAAGAAGTTTGCCGGTTGAATTGATTAGAGAGAGAGAGAGAGAGAGAGAGAGACACACACACACACAAATTAAATACGATGCGCATACATAGAAGAAAAATAGAGAAAACATTTACTGTTTGTTGTTTTTAAAGCTCAGGAAAAGCCAGTTGTCCGAAGATATTCCGAGCAGAAGTGAAACCTGTCACCATAGCAACGGCATTGTTTCTTCGTCATCCAAACACTCACTACTACTACTACTAAAAGAAACAGAGATGACAAACTTGATACAAGAAAATGAGGCCCAGCCATCATATTATTTATTATTCAGAGAACACAAAGAAACTTAATTCGACGTCATTTTCGTAGTAGCAGCAGTAATAGTAACGACTGCCGTCAGTAGTTAATTAATCCTGGGGCTGAACTCCTTTTTAAATGCATATCCCTCCCACACACACACTGCGATACACGTTTGCGCTATTTTTTTTTTCTTCGACTAAAACAGATATAGGATTCTGAATTATTCTAAAATAAAAATATGAAAATGCGATACCAGGCACAATTGCCTGCTTGTCTACCCACCCTTCCACAGGTAAACAACAAAACACGCTGGTGCGTATTTCTTCAAAAATCAAAAATTGCAGGTAGAGACTGTATAGAGAAATAGTTAAAGCTTTGCAAAACTTACCGGAGGATGGACCATGTCGAGTGTTGTTATGCCATGCCTCTATGATCAACGAAAAGGTACCCTACGAGGGGGAAAAAAGCGAAGAAAAATTGAATAATCAGGTAATAGAAATTAGATCTTTGTTTTCGACGAGACAAAGTGAGAAATAAAAAGTGAAATAGGGCTTCTTTTTTTTTCTTTTTTTTCTTCCTTTTCGCTTTTTTTTTTTTTTCTTTCGTCTCTAAATGTGTTGTTGGATGGTGCTAAAAACTCAACGACGGGCACAGTGTGCGTGTGTGAGCCACTCCAAGCGATCAGGGTAGAGAAGCACAAGCTGTTTCCAGCCAACTGACTCACATTTAATATTATTGGGTACGAATCGATACAGCCAATGGCTTGACTAATTGTTAAACAATCTAGTAAATAAGAAAAAACACTAATAGACAAATTAAAAACCAAACAAATAACACTCTACTCTATCGTCTATACAGCGAAGCAATTTTGTTCTACTTCTTTCCAATGTTTACTACGAAAGAGTTGAAAGCTGAAAATCAGTTATCACCAAACAGACTTACTACATCGAAGTTTTCTCCACGCAATCAATACGCTAGTTCCTCTTCAGACTAAAATTTTTGACGACTAATAAATTTATAACAGAAAAAGCAAACTAAAAATATCTACGTATCATTAATAGATTAAACAGATTTCAACATGTTAAAAAATAAATAAAAACTTACCGGCCAAGAAAAATCGAAGGGGAGCAACATGGGGTTGGTAAAGTTGTGTACGTCCCTAGAGAAATCAATAGAATTATTTCCGAGTACGGGTGTATATCGTGTCGCAAATGAACATTTGGTGTTCGGCATTATATTGGCCATAAAATGGGTAAGGCATATCCGAAAAAAGGTGCTGCAAGGTGAGGCGCAGCTTCCATCTTTTAATAGGCTGCAACAGTTGCCGTTTGCTAATAATCCCTGGGTATTCCGAAAGGATTTCAGTCGTAACTGGAACACTCCTGAGCCAGAGACCTGAACAGAAAAAGAAAAAAAATATATATTTTTAGTAGATTTTTCCGGACATAAAAGACCAGAACTGTCAGACAATAAAAAACAAACAAAGAAAGGAGAGAAGGAAATTAAGAGGACATTTTTTTAAAAATAAAGAAAAGAAAGGTTGGTTTGCTTTACTTGGTTGTGCCAACAGACAAACAAGGAAACATGTCTTGTACAACAACACGCACTCGTGCCGAATTAAAGCAGAGAAAGTTTAAATATGAAAAAAAATTTTTTTAGCAAAGTCAGAATAATGAGAATAAAACTCAAGTGAAATAGTGAAAGAACAGTAATAGAACTAACAATTCTTTATCCGGGATTTTACTATTTCACACACGCACTATACACAACAAAAAGGAAAAAAAATAGCGGCCGCAGAAAGATTAAGAAAAGTAACTAACATTTTTTTTTCTTTTAAAAGGAAGAGGAAAATGGCAGTTTTTTAACTAGCAAGAGAAAACTTAAACAAAGTAAAAGATTTTGTGTTCTGTAAAACTTAATACTAACCTGCTTGAGAATAATTAACATCCAAAGAATGGGAAATACTGCTGCAATACGCAACCGCATCCTCCTAGTGTACCGTTCCGTTCCCTGCACTACAGTGTAGCTGGTCGCTGTCTCTCCAGCAGCCTCGGTCTGGTGGCGGCTTCAATCACTTGGCTCCGCCCCCATATACACGTGATCGACAGAGCTGGAAAAATGATAATTACTTGCATTACACATATGGGACTTTCTTTTTTGCTCCTCTTTCTCTCTTCACTTTTCTGTATGCGCAAGCTCGTGTGTATCCAACTTTTTTTTTTTTTTAAACCTCTCCCTCTACATACATAACTACATCTATCTTCCTCACTTTCCTTCATCAGTCACTTAATGCCACAACTGGAGAAAACATACGATATTACTTAGAGAGGGGAAAACATTTGATTAATCCAACTTAAAATGTTCGTTTTCTCCTAGTTTCTGCTGTAATTTCGGTGGAGATCTCCGTCTCTCATACATATACACACACAGGTACTCACGACTAATAGCTGAAGGAAGCTGGTCGGTAAAGGGGGGAGGGTAGTCACTTTCAGGACGTGCGGTTTCAAGACGATCAAGATTGTTAATCCTCATAAGAAGAGGCAAGTGCGCAAAGACAGCAGTTGTTTTCTGCTGCTTCTTCCTTAGTCGAACTGTGCAGAGTTGGGGTCTCAGTACTCACCGAATCTTTCAAAACCAGGAAAAATGTTTGAGAAAAAAGTAAAACTACTTAGTAAAACAACCATCGGACTAATTAAAAAATGTTTAAATCGAAATTAGAAACTAACAAAAAAAAACAATGTAAAAGAAAATTGACAGTTTAGGTCTGGTACACGTACAAGAGAGTGTAAGTATTGCTACTGCTCAAAAAAGGATATAAATTTCTAGTTGACCATTATTTAGAATCTGTTATCGCTAAGCCAACGAAAGATATTCAAACGAAGAGGATAACTGCGGCGGCTAGTTGTGTAGTTTGTGTGTGCACGCACACACGCACACAAATGTACGGCTACATCAGGGGAAGGGAAACAAAAAAGGATTGTACATTTCACCTTGTTGAGTGAGTGACAAACTTTAAAAAGAAACAAAAAGGATTATTAAACGGTATGGAATGGATACACTTTATTGAGTTGCCTCATTCGTGTATATTGGTTGGTTGTGTGTGTAAAAAATTAAAAATATAAATAAATAATCACAACAAATAAACTAAGTAAGTATTACAGAGAAATACTTTTTTTTTTTTACAAAGTAATTTTAAAGTTTAAAACTTATTCGTGGCAAGTTACAGACAAATCAATTGTTTGTAAAGAATTTTTCTTAACTTTTCCATCCAATAAATGAACGGAAATAATTAATAAAAATACTTATAGGGATACTGAGAATTTAAATTTACTGAAGAACTATCAACTGATAGAACGGAAAATAAACGAATCTAACAGCAACTACTTTACTTTACCCCTACCGGTTGTGTGTGTGTGTATATATATGTGTATAAAGACACGTGCGAACATATATATTCTCATTCTTCAACAGTAAGTGAAAGTTTTAAACACTACCACCTTAGCTGCGCGGTTTGAGGATTTTAGTCAAAACTATAGGAACCCAAAGCAAGAAGGATATTAAAAACATTTTAAGTTGTTGTTTGAAAAATAAAATTAAACGAAGCTTCAGTTTTTAGTACACACGAAGCTGAATGTTTTATTGTCAAGTCTCCAACGGATATAGATTTTAAAATTCAGGCCTACGTTTTACCAATGTTTCTAGCTATAATATATTGATAAATTTAGGTAATTAATTATTTACTTAACCTTCATTCACAAATTTAACGGCAAATTACCTCATTTAAGTAACAATATTCAAGAATTTCGTCCAACTCCAAATTTATTGGAATGAAGTTCTCAATGTACTTCCTTCAATCCTACACGAATTTTCCTTTGTTAAAAAGGTGAAATTTTCTTTTTTGTGAATTCAGCTGTCAAGCGACCTTCCCATCCCCTGAGATGCACCTGCCGTCAGGTAGGTATATGCAAAACAGTTAGCCCCATATAAGGCCGTAGTTTAGCCCGGGGCCCTGGATGAATGGACAGAAGAGCAAGTGAAGCATAGCCAGTACGAAAGTTTCACTGACAGCTCGAACACACGTACACAAAAGGAAACCGCAAATCATAACACAAAGTTTTTTGTTTTTTTTCCCCTCGGTTAGTTATCAAATACAATGTTTACAAATGCTTTTTATTCAAGAGAAAAATGATAATTTAACACCCATAACAGGTAGTTCAGAATAATTTGACAGATTCCAATTATTAAATTACCCTATCGAAATCAAATACAATTGTTGTTCAATAAATCGATAGTGAACACGAATATAAAAAAAAACAAAAAAACTACTAAAACACGTTCTTAGAGGTCCGGATATTAAACATCAATGTCGTTGAAAACAATTTTAATCGTTGGCATTCCTCCTAATCAAAAATCTGGATTTAATTTTTTTACATTTAAGAACAAAACATTTGAGAAACCTAATTTTTTGCGCATAATAAATAATAATAATAATAATAATAATAATAGCTTACTTAAGAATCAGTCTTCAAAGTGCTTCCAGTGTGTCCGTTGGTTCACACCCACAAATGAATTGGCATATACAGCATTGTCAATAAGGTAAAAATCACAATGGAACAGAGTGACAACGAGTTTGGCCTCTTTGGAGTGGCCGAGAAAATTGACAGGATGAAATATCAAGCTGACAAAGGGGCGGGTTCTACGAAAGACTGACCACTGAAACTTTTTTTTTTTTTTTACGACTACTTTTCAGCTTGCAGAAAGTTGGAGTGGGGCTGAACTGACAAAATTATGGACCAAATGATGCCTGGCAACACACGCGTTGAAAATACAATCGGAAGAAATGTGGAGGCAAAGGGTTGTAGTGGTAGTTCACTTTAAAAAAAAAAAAAAAAGGTGGTGGGCACTCAAAGGATAAGTTCGTTGTTGTTAACCATGGAATACCAGCACACCTATAAAAAAAAAAAAAAAAAAACCTACCCACCTCATAACACCGGTTATTTCTTATTCTATTCAAACTGTACTACAATATTTGCACATTTAATTCTTTAAAAAAAAAGAAACGGGCGAAAACTTGTATATTGAATTTTAATAGCAACATCATTAAATCTTGATCCTTCTTTCAGAACAATGGATTCCTGGTAGCAACGACCATCACATTATTATTATTATTATTATTGTGAATATCTGATCTACAAAGATCAGAAAGTAAACATGAAATTTTGTAATGAACGAAAACTAGTTCGAAAATGATTCTTTCCAATGAACCTGGCGATGGAACAAACTTACGCTATCAAATACGGAAGAATGAATGGCGTTAGTTTTTCAGTTTCCAGTTTACTTGCTTATCTCAAGAAAGACCTCATTTATATTCTGTACATGCAAAACGTTTCTTTTGTTTTATTCTCATTTGCTTCTAAGCCACGTCAAAAATAGAATTTACTATTCTATTAACATTTCTAATGTGTTAAAGAAAAAAATGTACAATAATTATTTTTATAAATGAGAACAATTCAACAATTCTCACTTAAAGTAGCAGTTTGGGGCTGAAAGCAATCAATACCTTCTGTTACTAAATATTTTTTGGCATGCCGCTTATAGAATATTCTAATTTAGATCCCTTTTGAATTTGTTACAGTTTAACAAGCTTAAGAATAAATCAATTCAATATCAAGCATTTCATTTAAGAAAAGGGTCATACATAAGTTAGGGCAAGTAAATACAGAAAAAGAAAACAACTAGTTTTTCAGACCATAAACTAGATAAAAGTTAATGCACATAAAAGCTGGTCTAAACTTGTACTATTTTTTGGTACATTATTAATATTTAAAAAGTAAGGGGAAAAATTGTCATTAAGTTTACTGAATCTATTTCAATTCTCTAAAACTAGTTCTTCATTTTCATAACACAAAATTTATGTTCACTTACATCTTTGTGATAAATAAATAGTTCTTGCAAAAATATGAAATTGTTACATTCAAGTTTTGTATTCAACCTTTTGAACATTCATACTGAAAAACTTTGCCAATACAAAATAATCGGGGATGTAAATACTTTGCTACAACTTTAACTCCTCTATAGGAATGTTTGATGCAAAATCACACTAGCAATAAATCTATTTACATATTGAAATAACTAAATGTAGAAACAAAAGGATAAAGCTTCCAGGTGTTGTCAAAAAGCAGTATATGTATTAAGATTTGTGATACAATCAGGATGATGACTACCTTATTTGCAGACACTCCTAACAATTAAAAAAAAAACAAAAAAAACTGCAAAACTTATCAAACAGGTGTCTAAAAATCATTTAAGTTACTTAATGATGCCTTTGTTCTAGTTGTGCTTAGATACCAAGTATGCTATTCTCCTATGCCACGTGGAATGAACAACAGGCCTCAGGTGTCAGTCAGCCAGACTGAATGAAGGAACAAGAGCACCTGTATACGGAGGGGACAATAGCAACAGCTAATAAATTACTTCAAAACAAGCAGCAGTAAAGCGCCACTCAATACAGTCATAGCTTGAAGATGGAGATCAAGATAACTACTAGCAATCAAAAATTGGAATATTGAAAACAGAAATTTAAGTCTTAAGTAAAATCTTATTTGTTTTGATGTTAAAAATGTTCAGCAACTTTTATTTAAATAATGTCAAATAATGAGAATTCATTTGTAAATTTTTAAGTTGTAATTTATGAACAGTATACAAAGATTAAAATAAAACATAGTACTAACTTACATTATTAGTTAACAGGGTGCTGAGAAGTTCTCAACCTAACCAAGAAGGGATTTTGAGGTTTCGTCATTTGGTCATATTTTGAAAAATGGGTCAAAGCGAGAACTTTTCAGCTGCCTCTTGTGTGTCAAACAAACTGGTAAAATTCAGGTAGCTTTAAAATGCTATGCTACAGATAAATGAAGCAAGTGAAAAATAATATTGATGGTACATTGTGTTGCTGAACATTAAAAAGTTTATTATTTACTATTTGT